GGCGAGGTCTTTGATGGCAGAACCGGAGCCACAGCCAACTCCACCAACGTCACCTACTACCGTGGGCGATGCTCAGGCGACAGCGGGAACCGGGGAGATGAAGGAGGCTTTGAGGGATGCTGCACAAGCCCTTAGGTCGCTGATGAGTTCTGGGACTTCAACAGCGACATCCTCAGCGTCTTCCTTGGAAGGGCTTCAGCGACAACTTGATGAGTTGAGACTGAGGGCAATGAAGGTGGAGATCGATGGCACGGAGCTGAAGAAGTACCAGAGGACTCCGCTGGATGAAAGGGTTAATGGAGATGGTTCCTCGGTACCGACGCTGATTGACTCTGGTGCCACCCACATCCTTCGCCAACCTCGGGATGATCAGGAGTTGGCCTCAGCTACTCGGGTATCGGTGACCCTTGCCAATGATGAGAGGCGGGAACTACTGCAGACTGAGTCCGGAGCAATCCTGTCAACGTCGCCAGCTACCCAGCCGATCCTGCCAATGGCGGAGCTCGTGAGGGCCGGATGCGAAGTCAGCTGGAGGAGGGGTGTATTCAAGGTTACGCATCCAGTTTGGGGTGAGCTCAAGACATCGCTGCGTGGTGGTTGTCCAGAGTTGGCACAAGAACAAGCGGCGAAACTCGTGGATCAGATCGAGGACAAGAAGCTCCGTGAATTTCAAGATGGGGTTTCTATGTTGAAGTCGAAGTTGGACTACCTGGTTCGCGAAGAGAAGCTTCCCTGGACGTCATATGCGATGAAATTCTTGGATGAGGGACTGGCTAAGGATCTTTGGAAGGCCGTGCGAGGATCCTTCATGAAAGATCTTCCAGAAGCAGTTCTAGACTCTCTTTGCATTGGCATCCGTTTGAATCAAGGCTGGGAACATCTGAAGTCTTTGCCTCTGCCAAGAAGAACTCGGAAGAGAATGATGGAATCAGATAGGTGGATACTTCATCTACCAAAGCATCGAGAAGAACCTCCCTTGAAGTCCGAGGACTATGGCGAGACTGCAGTGATAGTAACAGTGCCGCCGCACTTGCTTTCTCAGGCGTATGGTGCTCTGATGTGGGGGGCTGCTACGGGAAGGGTCGCTGCGGTGGTTGGTGAAACTCCTGGATGTTCAATGGCTAAGGATTTCCAGACTATCCGGATGGCAAGAACAATGGCGCTTTACGTGATTGGGAGACTCGCGAGATCAAAAGGAAGAACTGGGTTTTTCTGGCTGATGCGGAAGGACGATGGTGAGGATGAGGTTGGGAAATTGATGGTGCAGTTTCAACAAGCGGCCTCCATGCGTGAGCTCAACGTCAACGGTGATGGTTTTCAATCCTCTTCGAGAACGCGGTGGGTAGCTACAACGAACTACGATCTACAAGATCTAACAGGGGAACCTCAGTCCGAGGAGGGGAAGAACGACTTAGTGAACAAGGGCTGGCCTATGGAGTGGAGAAGAAGGCTAGCAAGGGCAATCTCTGATGGGAACTTCCGTGGCTCTCAGAAGCGAGATGATGGTACCCTGAAGGCTATGACGCAGGAGCAATGGATGAGTCATGTTCAAGCTGGTCATTACCCTTCGCGTCGAGACTGTCTTCAGTGTGTTTCTCATGGGGCTACAGGACACCGTCATGCTCGGATAGAACATCCATCTCTATTCTGCCTTACCGTGGATATCACAGGTCCTTTCAGAACAGCCGGTGAAGACCCAGGAGCTCGAGGAGATCGTTCCAAGGCAGCTAAGATGAAGTATATTCTGGTTGCAAAGTTCACCTTGCCGAAGTCCTATGTCACAGGCGAGTTCGAACCTACAGCTCAAGACCCAAGGGAAGAAGATTTTGGCATGAAGGATTTGTTCGATGAGGATGGACACATGGTTGGTTCAAAGGGGGTGTCAACCGAGGGTGAAAGGTATGATTGGGTGAGCGACGAAGAAGACTACGTGCCTTCAATGGCAGAGGAGGACGGCGAAGAAGAGGAGAAGGATACCGGTGCGGGCGTGGGAGCAATACCAATCGACGTGAAGGCCCCGGAGTGTACATATCTTCTCTTTGCAGAGCCGCTTCTCAACGACAAGGGCACCACCGTCGCCAGCGCAATCCAGTCCATTGTGTTGTACCTCCAAAGTCTCAACATCCCTGTGCTGAGATTCCACAGTGACCGGGCAGCGCAGCTAATGGCCAGATCGCTGGTGCAATGGCTGCATGGACAGGCAATTCGTACAACAACCAGTACCCCTGGTGTTCCTCAAGAGAATGGTTCTGCGGAGTGTGCTGTGAAGGAAGTCAAGCTCACTACGAGAAAGATCCTTTCCTCGTCCACTCTGGGAAATTCCTTTTGGCCGGTGGCTGCAAAGGCTGCGGCATCTCTTCAACGGGCTCGTGTCTTACGTCAGGTACCTCGGATGATAGCGGCGTTTGGTGCAAAGGTCTTGGTGAAAAAGAGGAGGTATGCGGCTTCAGGAGCTTTGATCCGATTGGAATTTGATGAACGATGGGCCGAAGGAGTGTATTTGGGTCTCTCTGATCAGCTTGCGGATGGACATTTGGTCTACGTCGACGGAATCTTCACCCACACGAAGAATGTGAAGGACAAGGCCAAGTTGGTGGACGCAAGAGTAGAAATACCTGATGATCACGGAAGGGAACAAGGTGACGAGCTCGAGCCACGGGCTAAAAGAAGGATCGTCGGAAAATCGGCGCCACGAGTTGCAGTGATGGAGCGCAAGTCGGAGTTTGGGATATATGAAGACGATCTTCCCAGCGACGAAGAGGTGCTCTGCGATGACGAGGACCTGGGTGATGGCACGCAGGGGGTGATGAGTGAGGAGTGTCCAGTTCCTCGGGTGGCTGTTTTGGGTTCCAATAGGGGCGAAACACAAGATGGTCATGGAGACTCGATGGACCCGGAGGACTATGCCAGGGAGATCATCTACAACGAGGACAATGTCGATGAAGAAGTGATCAAGAGGTTATTTGAACTGCTGCCAAATCAGAGACTACCTCGACAGACAGAGGACTGTGGAGCAAGTGGCTTACCTCCTAAGGCGTGGGCTTCGGGAGTCTATCGTCATGGTGGAGTGCTGGGTGTGAGGAAGTCATCCCGTGAGTTTCCGTATTCTACAAGACTGGTGAATCAGTTCATTCGGGAGGTTTTGGGCGATTCGACTACATGGTCTACCTTTTCACTTCATCGGAATCTTGGGGTGAAACGACATC